CCTGAGTGGTGAGAGGGTAACCCTGTGGCCTGTGTTCTGGACACTCCTGCATTGAATGCTTTGGCCTGTGGGGCCTCAGAATGGTAGGTGCTTATTGGTGGTCACACCACTGCCTGGATCTGAGTGGGGCACAGACAGGAGGTGATGGGCTGGAGGAAAGAGAAGGCCAGCCCAAGAAGCCATGTACAGATTTGTGGTGGAGCAAGGGTGATGAGAGGAGGGCTCATTGCACTGCACTGTTCAGAAAGTCAGGCTCTCCAAACCCACACCTGAGCAGTTGAGGCTCTGCAAGAGAAGGTGGAACATAGTGTCACAGAGCGCTCTTTGGTGGATTTCTGCAGCACTTTGCACTTGAAAAATTCACTTTTATTTCCCAGTATGGGCTGCCCCTTGTGACTTCTGCCTAGTCCAGGGCTCTTACTGGGAGTCTTGCCTTTGTCAGTGGCTGTGGCAGTTTACTTCTCTTGAACTAGAAAACTCTGATGTTTATCATCCTTCACGGACACTTGTGAGTGGTGCAGTGCAGTCTTCACAAGTGTACAGGGTGTTATTTTTTTCCTGTTTGTAAACTTCGTGTAGAATCAAAGAACGGATCTTTAAACTTGTAAGATTTTTATGTCAGGGTTGGTCATTAAGTTAGAAATAGTATGTTTCATTCGTACTTTTCTCTATAATATCTAATTTGGCATTTGGAGGGGCTGAGAGGTGAGGCTTCATGCTAATCATTGCTTTTTAAAAATTGAGTTTATTGGTACTTTTTAAGTATGCAGTACAGTTACATTCATCATTGGAATCTTGTACCTTTACATGATAGATCTTGGTTCTCATTTTTTCCCCATGCCCCTGCCCTCCCTTCACACCCTCCACCCTCCCCTGTTTACAAAGACTTTATTTCCATTTTTTCCTTTTCTCATATTTTTTCTTGTCCCTTATTTCCTTTCCCTACCCTTTCCACTTCCCCTACAACTTTAGCTCTTTTCTTCTAATTTCACGTCAATTTTACAATGTGGATCTTAATTACACTTTCAGTTTTTCACACCAGAGAAACTATTCAGTATTTGCAGTGTGTCTTATTTATTTCACTTAAGAGTGTGGCCTCAGTGTGCATCCATTTTCCTACGAGTGACTCTAGTTTCTCATTCTTTATGCCTGAGTAGTACCCAATTTTATAGAAAACCCACATCTCTTTATCCAGTTTCAACTGATGGGCAGTTGGGCTCTTTCCAAGTTTTAGCTATTAGAAACTGTGCCACTACAAACATGGATGCACATATATTACGGAGGTATGATTCTTTTAATTCTTTTGTAAAGATACCCAACAGAGGGATAGCTGGATCAAGTGCTGCCTCTGATCCTATTTCTTTGAGGTATTTCCATATTGATTTCCACAGTGGTTGCACCAGTCTGCATTCTCACCAACAATGGAGAAGGAAGGGTTCGTTTTTCCCCACAACCCCACCAACATTTGTTTTTGGTTTATTTCTTGATAGCAACCATTCTTTCTGGGGGGAGGTGGAATCTCAGTGTTGTTTTCATCTGCATCTCCTGGGTATCTGTTTGAATCTGTTTCTTTCTTAGGTTGGGCATTCAAGGTTTTCATTTCTTTCCTATGCTAGGCATTCATGGCTTCTATCATGGTCCTAAGCTCCTCTAATTTTTTTGTCTGTTTCTGTTCTAGAGTCTCTAATCATGTCTTTCATTGTGCTCACCATCTCTGAAGTTATCTGGGAAATTATTTCTGTTTTGAATTTTCTAGAGCCTGATTGATCTATTTTGTTACTTCCAGTGCTATGAGTTCAGGGTGTCCTGGAGGTTTATTTTCAGACTTTTCCACCTTGTTTTCCCTCGATCTTGCCATTGGTGAACTGGAAGCCTGTCTTTGTGCCTTGCTTAAGTATTTTCTCATTTTTATTTTTGTGGTTGGGCTGTCCTTGGTTTAATTCCTGGCTTAATACTTTGATCTTCCTGATATAGATGCTCTTTAGGTTTTGAGTCTCTAATGACTCAGAGACACTCTCATTTTCATAATATCAGAAAAGATGACTCATTAAACCAATCATAACCCTTTAGCCTAATTGATACAGTCACCAACACAGTAACATCAAGCACAGCTTAGAAATTGACCATTTGTGGTAGTTATTAATCTATGAAGTAAGTCTGTGAATTAAATAAAAATCAAGGACCAGCCCAAGACGTGTTTATAGTTAATACACTCTTCAACATAGCAACTTTACCCTTCAGGATGGGGACTTAGAAGGAGTTGGGTGGAGAGGAATAGAGAGGTGAACGAATAGGAGAAGGTTTCAAACAAAGCCAGAGAACACAGTATGATCACACAAACTCTAGGAAACTGTTGAACACCATAGGGAAAAATAGAGTGCAGGAACAAAGTCAAGAATAGAACAACTTAACTGCAATAGGGAAGCTATAAATTGTACTCACTTTCCTGTGAAACTAATGACAATCAAGCAAAGGAAAAAGAAGAAAAGAAAAAGGAAGAAGAAATCTTATTAGGGAAGGAACAGGAACAAAAAGGTAGGTGAAGAATAACATGGGGAGCCAAAGTCTCAGTGGGAAAAAGAAGAAAGAAAAAAGGAAGAATTTTCAGAATGGGAAAAATAATATTTTAAAAATAAAAATTAAAAAATTTAAAATATAGGAAAAGAAAAACTTTGAAGAGCCTCTTTCAGGGTATATTTCTGCTGTCCTAATAGACAATGTGGGCAGCATTGTGCATAACTAAGTCAGTTACTCTCAGCTTGCCAACGGTAGATCCCTGAGATTCATGCTGAATTCTGACTGCAAGGCCTAAGTTTAGCGCCCTGACCTACTGCAGGATTGAACTCTGCAATTTTCTAATGTAGGTTCCAGCTGCCCTTCCCCTGAAGATAGTCAAAATTCTTATGGACGGTGATTATCCCTTCAACTTACCTGGTGCAGAGGTCTGATGTGCCTTTATTGAAGTTGTTCACTTCCATTCTATCTTCTGGAGCTCAGTAAAATGGGCTTTATGACCACCTGTGCTTCTGCAGTGTAGATCCAGGTACATGTTCACTTCTTCTATCTTCTGGAGCTCAGTAAAATGGGCTTTATGACCACCTGTGCTTCTGCAGTGTAGATCCAGGTACTGGCACAATCAGGAGGCCCAAGAGCATGGGGCCTGGGGATTGAGTGGTTCTTACTGGTCTTCTCCATTGAAGGCCTGGGACCCTGGAGGTGGGGGAGCAGTGAGCTCCCTGGATGGTATCAATCATTGCTTTATAAAATTGTGAATAGTTACACAGGTGTCCCAAACTTGTTCAAGGATCAAAAAATTTTGATCAAGTAATTTGAAAGTAGTTGAGTGTGAATTGTCACTGATGTGATCTTGGTTGCCTTATTTATTTATCCAGATTTCTGAATTTTTAGTTTTGCTTTTCTGTTGGGGCCAGTGATTTTTTTTTTCCTTTGGGCCCCATTGGTTGGCTTTGTGTGTCCCATCCATTGGGTGCTGAGTAAGATGTGGCCCCTTTTCAGTGTATGCTGATCAGAGGTGCTTTGGAAACTTGCTAGGAGAGATCTTTCTCAGGAAAATCTTTAAACTCTGAAATTCTCAGCAAGATTTCTGCCTTCTACTCTGTTTGCAGGAGTAGGCTGGAGTGTTGATTTCTGGCCCTCAGGAGCAGAAGTGCAGTGCTTAGAATCCCAGTACCCTAGAAGCATGTTAGGGGTGCTTCTTTCCCAGTTGCTAATTTTTAGCACATTCTCCCCATGGTCAGACATCTTGTTCTTTTCTGCATCTGTTTCTGGGTCACAACAACACAGAGCAAGCAGAGAGTTGTCACCCCCGGTGATTTTGGAAAATACCCTTCTATCTTTGAGTGAAGGGTAGAAGTGGACACTGGCCCAACATTGGGCACTCAGCTCCTTTGCAGACCTTAAATATATTTCTTAGTGTGTATGGAGTCATGTCCCCAGCGCTGCTTCCTGACACCAGACACAGCGCACAGGCCAGCTGGATAAGGTGGTCTTTACCTGTTGACTGGAAGGAGGGTCTGGGAGGAAACTTTCACTCTTTCTGTGGCAGGAGGATGGGCAAAGAGGTAGCAGTGACCACACAGTGTGATGATATGTGGAGTCAGCAGGGCCCGCCACCACCTCTGGGATTAACTTTCTCCCCTCGAGGTGTGTACTATGGGAATCAGACCTGTGGTGAGGTGGGTAGGTAGGAGTCAGGATGTAGGATTGGGAGGGACTCTGCATAGGGCTTAGAACTGAGTCCTGTGGCCAGAACCTGGGGTCCCATCTAGGGATGTGTGGGCAGGGAGCCCAGTGGGAAAAGCTCAGGGCCAGGAAGGGAAGAGCATCTGTCATAAGCCAGGCCAGTAAGGTGGAATCACCAGCCTGTGGCTGAACTCAAGGCAGCACATGTGCAGGTAGCCTTGCAGGGCAGCTTCTCTCTTGGGTCTGGGCAGCCATGGGGTCATTTCTGCCCTGTGTTGCTGCTCTCATTCAGCCGCCAGTGTCCTAAGAAAGTCTTGTTCCTTAGTATCTAAATACAGTCACATGTTTGTAAACTGCTTTCAGCGTAGCCAGCTGCTTCTGCAGCTCATGATCTATTAGCTTGAGATTGGCCCCGACTTTCCTTCCCCTCCTGTTGTGGTGGTGTTCTCTGCCCCTCATTCCCACACATTTTTCTGTGGGGATGCTTCTGTTTCTCACAGTCTATAGATTCTCTTCCCATAATCCTACTTGAAGATCAGTATTTTTGGGGGGAAGAAAAATTATAATTACTTACTTGAAGTATCTAATACAGCTACTAATAATTGTTGAGTAAATGACTTTAAACATGTAAACATGTTCGTATTAATGTGTTTGAATTTTTGTTGGTGGTCTCTTTTTGGAATTTGGCTCGGATGGACAGTTGTGTGGTAGAACATACTGGGTCTACACCTGTAGACATTCCCATGGGCTTGTTTAGGCTGAGTCCTTTGCTTATAAGATTTCTGTCTGTGTTTCAGGTGCTTACTGCCATCTCTCGGTCCCCCACCTGGAACATGCACCTCCTGGTAACAGATACATCTCTCACTGTCTCCAGGCAGCAGAAGTCCCTCTGAGAATGGAGAGATAAGACGCTGTTCTTTCAGGCCTTTGTGAGAGAAAGCTGTGTCCCCAGCCCCCCAACACGTCCCAATGGATCGCAACAGAGAGGCTGAGATGGACCTGAGGAGAGGGCCCAGCCCATGCAGGGCCAGCAGGAGCCAGGAGGTGGATGGGGACAAGGCTGCATGCCACAGCTGTTGCATCTGTGGCAAGAGCTTCCCTTTCCAGAGCTCACTGTCGCAGCACATGCGCAAGCACACAGGAGAGAAGCCCTACAAGTGTCCCTACTGTGACCACAGGGCATCCCAGAAGGGCAACCTCAAGATTCACATTCGGAGCCATCGCACAGGGACTTTGATTCAGGGACATGAGCCAGAGACGGGTGAGGCACAGCTGGGTGAGATGCGTGTGTCCGAGGGCCTGGATGGGTGCGCCAGCCCTACGAAAAGCACGTCAGCCTGCAACCGCATTCTGAATGGGGCAGCGCAAGTGGACAGCAGCAAGATCCTGCTGAGGAGCAGCCGGAAGGAAGCAGAAGGAGCAGCTAATGCTGCAGAGGCTGAGGCTGCGACCCAGTGCTCTTTCTGCAAGAGCCAGTTCGAGCGGAAGAAGGATCTGGAGCTGCACATACACCAAGCCCACAAGCCCTTCAAGTGCAGGCTGTGCAGCTACATGACCTTGCGGGAGGAGTCACTGCTGAGCCACATAGAGCGGGATCACATTACTGCACAGGTGCCCAATGGTGGTGAGGCCTGCGTGGAAAATGGCAAGCCTGAGCTGAGCCCCGGAGAATTTCCCTGTGAGGTGTGTGGCCAGGCCTTCAGCCAGACCTGGTTCCTGAAGGCGCACATGAAGAAGCATCGGGGCTCCTTTGACCATGGCTGCCATATCTGTGGTCGTAGGTTCAAGGAGCCGTGGTTCCTCAAGAATCACATGAAGGCACATGGCCCAAAGACAGGCAGCAAGAACAGGCCCAAGAGTGAGCTTGACCCCATTGCGACCATCAACAATGTGGTCCAGGAGGAGGTCATTGTCGCAGGCCTGTCCCTCTACGAAGTCTGCACCAAGTGTGGAAACCTGTTTACAAACCTGGACAGCTTGAATGCCCACAATGCCATACATCGCAAGGTTGAAGCCAGCCGGACCCGTGCCCTGGCTGAGGAAGCTGCCACTGAAAGTCCCCTGGACACCAAGCAGTTCTTCTTACAGTGCCTGAACCTGAGACCATCAGTCACTGGTGACATGTCCCCTGGTGGGCAGGCTGGAAGGCGTGTGGCGGAGCTGGACCCTGTCAACAGCTACCAAGCCTGGCAGCTGGCCACCAGAGGCAAGGTGGCCGAGCCAGCTGAGTACCTCAAGTATGGGGCCTGGGACGAAGCGCTGGCTGGGGATGTGGCCTTTGACAAGGAGCGGCGTGAGTACATCCTGGTGAGCCAGGAGAAGCGCAAGCGTGAGCAGGATGCATCGACCACACAGGGCCCCCCAAGAAAGAGGGCAAGCTTGCCTGGGGACCCCATGCTATCTGGCCACTTTGACCCCCGGCCAGCTGCACGCACCAACCGCCGGGCCGCGGCTTCTGCTGGCCATGGCAAGTCCTCCGAGTGCTTTGAGTGTGGCAAGATCTTCCGCACCTACCACCAGATGGTGCTGCACTCCCGAGTACATCGCCGTGCACGCCGAGACAGGGATTCCGATGGGGATAGGGTGGCACGTGCCCGCTGTGGCTCACTCAGCGAGGGCGACTCAGCCTCCCAGCCCAGCAGCCCTAGTTCAGCCTGTGCTACTGTCGACTCTCCAGGCTCTGGCCTGGCTGATGAGGTTGCTGATGACAGCGGTGAAGAGCCCTTGCCTGAACCAGCATCAGGTGAGCAAAGTGTTCCCCGGTGGACTAGGTCAAGAAGCTGGACTCATGTAGCCTCTAACCAGGTGACTAACTCTGCACCCAGCTAGCCGCACGCTTAGGTGACCCTGCACCCAAGTACTCCGTGCCCAAGTAGCTTTGTGCCTTGGTAACCTTGTTCTTAGGTATTCCCACCCAGGTAGCCCTTGGCCAGAGTCCCTGTGTCCAAGGAGCTAGGTTACCTTGGTATCCTGTACCCAGTGTGTACCTGGAGTTTGTGCTAGTGGGTTCATATGCAGGCAGCTCTGCTTGTCTCGCCTTTGGTAACTGTCCTATATGTGCTTGCATAAAGTATCATGTTTGTCTTTTGAAGTTGATGATCTCTACTGGGTACCAGTAATTTTGGAGCAAGGAACACAGCCACGGACCCCTCTGAGATGCACTTCTGTCTTTGCCTCCCCAGGCCCAGTTCTCAGCATATGACAACTGTGTACACATACACAGATGTAAACATCCCATGCACAGACCACACACATGGGCACACGTAGGTGTACACACATGTGCACACACTTTCTTCTTCTTAACACCAGACAGAAGAAAAGAATAATTTTGAATTGGTGTGCAGTTATAATTAATCTCCTTAGATCAGAGTAACCCTGTGGGTTTAGGGACAGTTAATTGGAACAGAGTACTTCCCAGATAGCAGCCATGTAAATATTTAAAGATGCTTGGCTAACTTTGTTTTCATAGTTTTCCTGCTTTTTATAAATTTTAAACATTTTCATGTTCTCTTTTATTTTTGCCTTAGGTAATTGTGAATGGAAGGTGAGAGCTTTAAGTTTCAGTGAAGCCAAAGATGTTCTTTCTCTTCTTGCAAACCTGTTAGTGGATGTTGCTTCAGCTGAAAGTTGAATGATAGAAATCGGAGTCTAGCGGGCAAAGGAGTTTTTGTTTTCTGTAATGAGAAAGAGGACCCCTGGGCATTTGTTTCAAACAAAGCACAAATCAATGCTACTTTTCCTTATTAGGGATTAAGCAGAGTCTCATTATCACAGGTTTATGCATTGTGCTATAACAGGAGCCTGCTGTATCTACAGATAGGGACAAGAAGAACGTGGGTAGCAGTTTCTCTAAGCCTTATTGAGCCCTGTGCCGAATTTACAGACTTACGCGTTTGTGTCCCCAGCATCAACTGAGTTCTACCCCTCCTGGGTGAGAGCAGGAGCACGTGGTCCCTCTGAAGTGCAAGCTTGTCTGGGAGCTCTCCTGGTCTCTGGTAGCAGCTTGTACAGTGAAACTCAGTGGCTCGGTTGTGACTCCTGATTGGCCCTTTTGAAGTTTAATTCTTGATTTTTCTATTTTCACAGCTGTGGCTTTTATTGCTTATGTTCTAATAATGCTGTAACTCCTCGTGGAGTGGACATCGGATAAAATGTTAAGCTAGCACTATATCTTCTTTTTTTTCCACTATGAAGAGAAACATTTTTAGTATTTGGAAAAGCTGTTAAGCCTTTACTCTGTCCATTGTGATGGCAGATGATTTCATAATGAGCTAATCCCAGAGTGTGTTTAATGTCAAGAAGCTGGGAGGATCAAGTTATTTTCACCATGAAGTAGAATTTATGCTTTTTTATTCTTTTCAGTTTCATTAAATTCTGTTTATTTCTTATTGGCATCATGCGAATTTTCTATATATATAATTTAGTTTTTGAGAAATTTATGTGTATCTCGCATTAATCTATAACAAGATACATACTGCATTTGAATATAAAAATTGGCCTTAAAAGAGATAGGATGTGGGGCTGGGGGTTTGGCTCAGCGGTTCTGCTACCTGCCTTGTAAGTGGAAGGGCCTGAGTTTGATCCCCAGTACCAATGAAAAAAAGAGATAGGATGTGGTAGCTTATTGAGAAAAATTGTGGCTTAACAGTAGCATGAAGTGTTGAAGAGCCTTTTAGGTTTGCAGGAGTCACCTTTATAATCCCAAAGGCCACTGTCTTCCCACCTAACAATACACTTCAATCACAGCAGACACTGCTAGTGTCTAGGCCAGCATTAAGTTATCCAGGCACGGATGTTCCTTGAGGAGAGACTGTGTCACATCAGTTTGCTCTCAGAGCACCCTGATTTGTAGGGTCTGACTAAGGCCTTAGGAATAGCTGTTTTTGAAATGAAACCAAGTATTTTAAATGCTGTATTTTGACCTGTATTGCCTGAACCCCCCCACATGTATAGGGCTTTGAAAAATGCATACCTCCCCTGTCACTAGGAAGATTAGATATTTAAACATTAGTGAAATTCTCATGGAGCGTTGATGCAGTGACTGGTTACAATTGTTAGAGCAAGGCAAATCTGTACAAATGGAGAGAGTAGGTTCTCATGAGAGTTGAAATTAGAATTGAGATCTCTGAGCTCATCCCAAAAATATTGACATCCAGGAATAATTGTGGGGCTGCCTGTAGATCTGTACCTTTGGAAGTTCTAGAGGTTAATGCAGCTTTGTCTCCTTGTAGGACTGGTGCAGGCAGCCATCATTGCTGATTTAAGATTCAGGGGAACACAGCTGTGAGGAAAAGTCAGTAACTGAAAGCATGTTACTGAGCTGGGTTTAAATCCTCAACTGGGAAAATGATGTGCCACTGATAGAAACTGCTCTTTGGTAAAAGGTGAAAGAAACCAGAGTACAGAAACTATTCTTTGGAAGATCACAAATATTTATGTTTTTTATTGGGGGGAGGAGAGGCATAAGGACACATCATTAACATTTATGGAAAAGTGTCCTCATACAGAGTAGAATCAGGGAGCTCAGAAGCCATCGCTTAGGAAAACTGCATACTGTTTCACAAGTAAGTATGTGAGCCTCAAGTGTACAGGCCAGAAGGGGATTCTTCTTCGAGAGCATTTAGATGACTTAGGAGTACCAGCAGCGCATGGAGAGATCATGAACATCTTGGAAGGTTTGCTTCACATGGGCACTTGTGGAGTTCAAATTACCTTGAGAGGCAGCTGGGGCTGGGTTGCTGGAGTGACTCACAGGTATTAGAGCTTGCCTTTCATGCAGAACATCTAGGTGCCTATTAACTGCTGTTTGCATATAGTTTAAGTTAAAACTAATCTGGGTACGCCAGTTTTTCTCTGTTTCTGATGCTGTCACATCAAATGCATACTCCAGGGAGATTCCCCACTGCATCTGTTCTCGGATATTCATTGGAACTTACTTATGAGGAAACCTCCAGGCTTTAGATGAAGTCATAGGAAATTCCAAGTGTGCAGCCATTTCTGATGCGAGAAACATGGCAAATGAGATTGTTCACCCTGATAGGATAAAAAATGATGTGGGTCAGGTGCCATCCTGTGGTGTGCAGTTTGAAGAATTAAGGAGTCTTCAGAAGAAGAAAATATGGTCAAGGAAGGAAATATAACTACAGCAAGCAGTTTACCTTCTTTCAGAAGCTGTTTTCCTGCGGGCAGCCCCCCTGTGATAAAGTTTTCTTCAGCTTTCACCATCACTTGGTCTTTAGACCAGAGGAGGTGAACCACTCAGGCTCACGGGCTTTGAGGCCAGCCAGCCTGCTGACTCTGAACTCCTTCCCAGAGGGCCAGACCACAGCCAAGCAGCCAACAAAAAGGTTACACAGCCATTCTTCTTTCTCTTTAATAGAGCAGGGACAGCAATTAGGACAGCTTAGGGACAAAATGTTTTTTTTTGTGTCTATCCATTGAGACAGGATTGAGGGTGAATCCAGGGAACAAAAGTAAGAATGTGGCCTGGTGGGGTGGGCCCAGGAGGGTTGTTTGCTCATGCTGAGTTTGCTGGGCCTGGAGGAGCTTCCTGTATTTACTCACTCAGTTTCCTTCAGTGTCGGATGGAAGTTGCAGGGGATGCATCTTCCCTTGTCCTGTTGGCCCCATCTATGAAGTGTGCCGCCAAGTGCCTGATTTGGACCAGATCTAAACTTGCTGTCTTGGCCAGACACCTGCAGGCCAGGCACCTGTGGAACTGAGTCAGGAAGGAGAGGAGCATCTGTTTTAGCATGGTGCTTCATCACTGGCCCCACAGAGAGGCTACAGAATGAGAGAAGAGGGAGTGGGCCCTGGCAGGGAGAAAATGAGCAACTTGAGTCCAGGGAAAGTTTGAAGTGTGGACAGGAAGGAACAACTTTTGTCATTTTATCTGGGGAGGAACATACCTCCTAGGACACTCCAGACAAAAGACAGTCTTTGATGGGCCTCAGCAGTGGGAGGCAGTGATTCTGAGGGGGTAGAGGTATGGTGCGTCTGTGAAACAACCGCTGGTGAAGGTGGAAGGCATAAGGTTATGCCATGTTATATCCATCCTTTACAGTGCTGTAGCGTGAGGCTCACTTTGAGCATTCCTCCAAGCTGACCAGAAATGGCACTATGCTAAGCAGTGTCAGTGGTCCTCACAAGTGATCATCACTCTAGGGTATTCACCCCAGTGTGACCTAAGCACAGGGACAAAACCGGGGTGGGATCTGGTGATGCAGGAATTCAACATAATTCAGATAGAGATTAAATAAGATCAGCAGATCCTAGCTACTGAGAAGTGGATGAAATGTGCAGACAGGCTGGGCAAGTGCGGGCAGAGATGTTCCTGGGGGTTTTGCAGTATGCTGAGCCCTGAGGAGTTTATTCATTTTGAAATAAAGTACGATTTGAAAACCCCATATTCATTTCTTAGCCAGTATAAAAATGAAGGCGTGTTTCTGTAAGGAAAATACTCAGGCGTCTTTGGCGGTCACCTACAGAATGCTGGCAGGGTTAGTGAGCATCCTAGTAGTTGGAGCCCATCTCACTCAGCCCCACACTATGGCCAGTATTCAGTGGGGTGCTGAGGTATCCTCATCCACTGTCGGCATCAGGATGTGAATAGTGTCTTGCAAGCGTGTTTTACAGTATTCTGATTCATTAAACATTGATGATTTGTGCATGGCATGTATACTGATATTTGCTTGAACAGAAGGCTACCTTTCCAGGCCTCCCAGAATATATTACACTGTGACA